ATTCACACTCCGATTATTCACACTTGTCTTGCATGCAAACAGCGATACAGCAACTGGCAACATGCGCCCTCACAGTACTTAAGATATCGTAACCAGATATGAGTTCTCTTCAACTGGCTATGACGACTGGGCGCCCACACAACTCACTGTTCGCACTGTGGATCACCCTGGATGTCCCACACGCAACACTCAGTATCATACGCAACACACACACACGCTATGCTACAGCTATGGCAGCACTAGCTGCCACTACCTATCGCTACGCTACACTTCTCTGCCCACTTCGTCTTCGGGCACACTGCAGACCTCCCTGCACAAGCTGCTAAGGCAGCGCTTCCGCATGGCATCCGCAGGAAAAGTGATCCATGGCTGGACGCAGCCTCTTGATTTATACTTCTGCGCTGCATTGGTCTGCCCTGTGTCCCTGGCCCATGGTGCACACAGTCCCCCCCGTGGTACTTGCTGGACCGGACTGGTACTTTCTAGACTCTCCCTTGACTGTATGACGACGACCCTACGACGCAGTGCAGTTGCACTGGGGTCCTACTATTTGACCTWGCCACTTGTCCTTGTCTCCAACATGGGCTTGCTTTAGTCACACCACTTGCCAACCTTCTAGAAGGACTGCAGCTAGCCTTCTAATCTACAGGGCTACGGATCGAATCCTGGCTACCTACAGACCTACAACAGACCTACCTACCACTGGCGGTTCTACAGGTCGCGGGTTCAACTCTTCGAGTTGACGCAGGTATTGTACACAGGTAAGTTGGGGAACCAGGGATCGAGCCCTGGGACCTGCATCAGCTACCACGAATTGGTGAATACCGTTTCCGTACTCTGTCTTTTAGTCTTTAGCAGTTTACTTCGTTCTAAATCCCATTTGATTTCTTTTTCTTTGTCTACTAAGTCTCGACTTTATTATATTTTTACATTTTTATTTATTTTTAACCAAAGGCCCAATCTATTCTGGGGGGCAGCAGTCCGGTTACTCGTTACCGGCAAGCGAGTTTTCAGCAATGACAGCAAGACGATACAAGACCATCCTAAAACCCCTGCCGCTCGAGACGCTCCGCAAGGGGGGCAGGGGAGTTCCACTGAGGCCCCTGGCTTCCGGGGCTCCCACAATGGCCAGGAAACAGCCCCTGTATGGAGACGTCCATTGTAGGGGCCCTGAGGGCGCTAGGCCACAGGGCAGCATCACCTGTCACTCGGCCCCCAACTCGTACCACATTGTATTCTGATTCCACACTTGCCCCTTCTTTATCCCTCCTAGTCCCTTCTTCGCCATTGTACGCTCCACCCCAATATGTTGTCCCTTCTTTGTCCCTCCTAGTTCCTTCTATCTCATACTACCCTTCTTCCATGCTTATCCTTCCCTGTCCTCTGATGGGTCATCACAGAACCCACTCATCCTCTATCATCTTTGGCTCATCCCTATATTTTTACATTTTAGCAACCTTTTTCCCCCATTTCGAATTTAAAACAGAGATGACCTCGACTGTGCCTGTATCCATGAGGATTCGAACTCATGATCAGGACAAAGAATCAAGAAAGGAAAACACAAAATCTTTTTTGAGTCAGAATAACTTGAGGTGGAAAGAAAAACATCCACGTCAGTGGTTAGCTCCATCTTGCTGTTGGTATATCGAGACCTGTACCTGGCGTCAGACCCCAGCTCCAGCAACCGACACTATAACTGACTATGTGTATCTGTGTGCATGCACACCTGCGCATATGAAAGCAGGCAGGTGTGTGGGTCAGTGTGAGCAAGCAAGCGAGCACATGAGTCAGTGGGTGGGTACAATCCACCGCACCACAACAAAAACTCTACTGCTGACCCTTGCTCTTACAGTCTGACTACAGCTGTGGTGAGGTATTCAACACAATCAACGACTAACCTCGAGAAGGGTTCCCGATCCATGCGCATGTAGAACTACCTCTGGGCTTCTGTGTAGAACTATTCTGCTACATGGAGCTGGCTGCTGCGTAGAGCTCTGCAACTGTGTAGAGTTGTTTGAATGTCCCTCTATGAAACTATGAATCATGTATCCGAGGCCCACCAGTCTGATGCATTCAAGTCTCACCAGCCTGATGCCTCCAAACCCTCACCAGTTTGATGCATTCAGACCTTCGCAGACTGCTGCACGCAAACCCCATCAGCCTGGTGCTTGTATTCGAAACCCACCAGCGTAGGTGTTTGAATATGCCCCTGCTGTCTGTATTCAAAGCCCGCCAGCCTGTAGGGAAGCAGCTGTTCGAATGTGGCGCTGTGTACTTATATTCGCCCGCCAGCCTGTATTGACGCAGCTGTTGGATTGTGCTGCTGCTCCCTGTATTCAAACCCTGAGTTAGGTCTTATAAGGATAGATAAGCTCAAATTAGTTAAACGGAAGTCAACTTTGGAGACTTCCCAGCCTGTATGGAAGCAGCTGTTTGAATGTGTCTCTATGTAGGAGTACCGCTATGTACTCATATTCGCTTGCCTTCGAGCAGTTGTTCGAATGTGCCTTTGTGTATTTGTCTATGCCTGTATTCGAAGTTCAAACCCTATCAACCAAATGCAACTCCAGCTGTTCATGTACAACTACAGCCACCGTCTTTGAACCCTTTTCTTCCGGCCTTCCTTTCGGGCCGGAAAAATGCAGCCCAAAACGGCGTCTATGGTCACTGCCTTCGAACCCTTTGTTTCCCACTCCCCCGTCTGCTCTAACCAGTTGCAACCCAAAATCAGGGACTGAAGTCAAGATTAAAACAGTACAACTTTTTTTACTATGAAAACAAAAAGTGCACAGTGAGTACATTTACCTACCTACCTACCTACAGACATACATGCACACATGCAAAGTTACGAGCACACTACTTCACCTCACCCGATAGCCCAGCACGTTCAACCCCTCCCCTCCCCTCCCCTCCCCTCAAGTTTGGAGACATACCTTTACAAGTGGCAAGTAACCCGGATACTGTGCAAGACCAAATATGCCTGCAGCAACATTTTCCAGGGAGGGTAATAAGGCGGGCCACTGGGATGGCCGAAGTCGATTTGCATGGGGCAGCTGTAACACCCAGGCGAAAGGATATTTTGTATCTTTAGCACAATGGTTCAACACTGTCATCGTCTTGTTCCCAAATCCCTGAACCATGGCCATTCATCAGGAACCAGCCGGATGGCAAACCACCAACCACTTGGGCTATGCATTGTCCGTTCGTTGAGCTTAGTTCCAAATGGTTGACCACTGGCATCATGTACGTTAGCTAATACTGGTAAATGAAGAGGAACCTGATGTGGAGAGCCAGACAACTGCCTTACGACCAAGTAAGATACATGTGCAAGTCGTGTGGTTTAACATAGCTTGTGAGTATCAGTAGATTCAGTACCGATATTTAACAGGTGAGGGAGGATGTGGGTGGTGGCTGGTGGGCATTCACCTCCATGCGGGCTGAATCACGTTCTGCTCTGAGTTTCGCGACATCCTTCTCCAACGCAGCAACCTTTGCGCTTTCTCGTTGCTTATCTGCCAACTGTAATCAACAAAAATCAGCAGAGCTCCAAGTGAGATGCGAAGAGATTCAACTTCTGAAATCTGCTGGAGATGCACTGGTGGTTGCAACATTTCGAGTTTTTGAATTCGAAGTCGTGTTGAGCATGGAAAGAAAAAGCAAAAAGATGAGAATGAACACCATACATCCAAAAGGAATAGCCAGTACCAGGACTGCGCAACACGTACCGCAACCTCATCAAAGCAATTGCCCGAAACCAATCACGAGCAGTGCCGGGCAGGCGGCCATCCTGGCAGGAAGGGGGGCACCCTCCCGGAAAAACTGGGTGGGTCAAAAGCGGGCAAGGATTCAAAAATATATACATTCTGGCTTCGGGCGGGGATTGCTCATAGCCTGAGCAGTCAGAGACCAGTCGTACCTTCCAAGTCCGTGATGGGTCGCCCAGTGGGAGTTGGGGGGTATAAACAGGGTTCAAAGAGGACTTTTAAGGGGTTTAAAGGGGAACCTCAGAAATATTAACCATTGTTTTCTATTCCATTTCTATCTTGAAATCAGTACGGAATTTTGAGGAGACCATCAGCGAAAAGTTGTTTGTATCGCTACTTGATACGATATATGCTTCTTCCAGAATTTGTTTTCAATTTGTTTTTGTTTTCGAAAATTTTGCACTGGGACTGCCCAGGACCCTGCGTGGACCTCTCTTGGCTGGGCCCGCCCAGGTACTAGCCAGTCCGGGTTACCCTAGGACCAGCACTGATAACAAGTGAAAAACATAAAAGGATTCTCTCTCTCTCTCTCTCTCTCTCTCTCTCTCTCTCTCTCTCTCTCTCTCTCTCTCTCTCTCTCTCTCTCTCTCAAACGCACACACTAACACATAGACACACACACACATTTTTAGGAAAAGAAAAGAAAAAGGGAAAAGGGGAAGAAAAAAATAAAATAGTGAGTGGGCGACCAGGGCGAGCACATTTTTGACATCGCCATCTTTGACGATTTTTTTTTTTTTTTAAATCATCTAAATGGCCAGAAAATTTATAGGCGTGTACCCTACATGCTACAGAACAACCCAAAACAAATTCAATAAAAAATATATTTTTTTAGGCCCCGAAACAATTTTTGGCGGGGGGGAACTTTGAGAAGTTCCCCGAACGTTCCGGTGGGTGGAGTCTCACATATAAAAAAGAGGCTGGAGCATCAGAGGCACGCCAAGTAGGTGGATGGTGAGGCAGCATGCCCAATGTGTCCAACACATCTGTTGTTGTCATGCAAGAGATTGCATCTGCGACGCTTTTCAATTCGAGAGTGCAAATGTCCTGATCACGATGCTAACATAACCAAAACAGAACGTTTTGCCACCTACTGTCTTCCGCCGAATAGAACACATGGCCATTATCACTGTATCTGGGCTGAAAGTTGAACTGAATACAGCTATAAGGACCGTACGTTCTATTTGGGGGGAAGACTGTACATGGGTATGCATACCCACTGACAAATGATGCATTTGAGGCAGAGGGACACGACAAGCGTGAAAAAGAGATGGGGGAAAGAAAAGATAGAGCCACATACATGAAGCATCACACCAACAACAAACATCCAGATTCATCCCCACCAGAATGATAGAGGCTTGTAACGAGAGGACAGAAAAGAAGAGAGAGAAACAACCTTGCGCTGCAGGTCGATTTCACGAAGCTCAGCTGTTACCCTCTCCTTGAATAGCTCATTCATCTGAGCCTTGATGGCTCTCATTTCCTCAAGTCCTCCCCCATTTGGCATTGTCATTGCATTTACCAGCAGCTGACAGTTTTCCTTCTCCAACTGTAAAGGCCATATCACATTTCAAGCCCACATATATAAGGTTATTCTAAACTCTTCTCAACAGCCATCGAAGCGTCGTACAAATCAATGCAAACGGTGGCAACAGGGGGAGCTGAGCCTTCTAAGGGGTCCCACTTACTCCTGTGATCATCTTCTGGTTGTGACCTCCAGTTTTTTTTTTTTTTTTTTTTTTTTTTAACAGAACCTCTCAGTTCTGGCTCCTACCATTCTGGGGAGCGACAGTCTAGTTCCCTTTCTTTTTTTTTTTTAAATCAGAACCTTATGGTTCTGGCTCCTACCATTCTGGGGAGCAACAGTCCGGTTCCTATTCCCCCGGCAAGTCAAAATGGAAAACATGAAAGATACACACACGCTCCTCCCCATTATGGATGGGAGTTCCGAGAAGGCGGCATTGATTGCTTCCATGAGGAAGGATATACCACCCCTCTCCCCTGCCTAAGTTATCCTATCTTACTTTGTCTATTCAAGCGCAATGTTGCCCCACTAAGCCTTTTCCTCTCAGGCCCTGTAAGGGTACCTGCCGGATGGGTCCTGGAAACCAAGAAAAGCTTTGGCTGTTGACACTCATCCTGCCCCTTAAACCCTAAACCCTTTCCAAAGCCCTAAACCCTCCCTGTTGGTAAACCTAGAAAACCTTTAGCTGTTGTGCTATTTCCCCTGTGCTACCCTAACCCCATATATCCCAGTTTAACACCCATCCCGGTCCTAAAACCCTAAACCCTTTCTGACTCCCTAAACCATCCCTTGCGATCCACCCCGAAATTCTTCCTGTTCTCTCAAACTTTTATGTACATCCTCCCCCTCTCCATGCGATCCTTGGATGATTGCTACTGCTCCCTGTCCTAGTATGTTCCGTTTGAATGTCATCATGATGTCTTTCTCGTGTTGTGGTTGTTGTCGTATCTGAGTTCTCACCCTTTTCCACTGAGCCTTGAGATGTGTTTCGATGAGTACGAAGAAATTCTCTCTCGCCTCCTGTCTATGCATTGTTGTTCCCTCTATTGTGGCTTGACATCGACGCTTCCAAATGGTCCAAAGACCATATTGGCGTGGTAACTGGAAAATATGTTTCTGAAAGGGTTTCCACTGTTTGGTAATCCGCTGGCCCAGTAGTAATGTGATCTTAGAGTCCGGGAAGGGACTGTGTACCATTTGGTGCCAGATGTCTTCGGCTTCATCCCACATCGCCGATGCTTCCTCACACTCCTATAAGCAATGCAACATTGTTTCTGGTATTCCTTGTTGGCATACCCTACAGATCTCTCCCTCCACACTTCTCTGCCTGTGGCTTCTTCTTTCGTTGAGCCAGACATTCACTGGGAGTGCAACGTGGGCTATTAGCCACTGCATACTCCCGACTGGACCCAGCCTTATGGCCACTATTCTTGCCCATGGAATTTTTGACAATTGACCTGTGGTGACCCCCACTCTCTTCTCCCATCGGTTGAGCAGAGTGGGCGTCATGGAGTAGGAGCGGATCCTCAACCTGTACCCTATTCTCGTGGTGTAATGCAGAATATTTATCCTCCTTGAAACCCGTGTTTGACCACCTTCTGATGTTCCATGCCCATTCCGCAGGGTCTACCTCCAGTTCCTCAATTGGTACTGTTGAGTTGTATATCGTGAAAACCTCTGTCTCTATCACCCTCACCTTCCGTAAGTAGTGTTTAAGGATGCTTAAGGATGTTTTGGTGGCCATATCCAATTGGGACGTGGTGTTGGAAGGATGAAGTATGTCATACTTCTCTGCCATTAGCCAGTCGGGCCTAGAGGTCTCCAAGCCCAATATTCTGAAGACCTCTTTAGGTTCCTTGTCATCTTCCCATGTGGCCCAGTCTCCCATACCCCATTGCTTTTCAGATAGCAGTAAATGTTCCCATGCTTGTGGTATGGCCCTCTTCACCAGTGCCCGATTTTCCGGCAATTTGTAACTTCCCTTCAGTTGTGTCCTTAGTTCCGCAGTTGTTTTCCATCTCCTTTCCCCTTCTTCCCAGAGGTGCTTGATCTGCCATACCCCATGCTCCAGCCATCTTCCCCACCTCGTGTCTGTTACCGATAGTGTCAGCGGTTTCCCTTGACTGTCCTTAATGCTTGCATTGCAAAATAATGGTTGTCTGAGCACTTCTTCCTTTGTCGTAGGCTCTTTGACTCTTGCAGGGAAGATCTCCTTCCACAACTTTATGAGCTGCACCCAATAAGAGGGAGACCGAGCTACCTCCTCCTAGCTTGCAATATTCTCATCCCTGGTGCCAACCTTTGCCCAATTTCCACACATTATCCAGACTGACCTGACATATTACTTGGCGTTTTGTCCCTTGCTATTTGTCTTATCTTCTCTAACACTAATGATGTCCACGAAAGGTTTGGTTGCGAAATTAGCTTTGTGACCCATTTGGTTTGAAGCGCTTTCAATTGGATGTATGGATCCAATATGTCAAGTCCCCCCTGATGTTTGGTTCTAGTGACATGTTTCCAAGCGACCTTAGATATGAAGTGATTAGTGTTTGGTTTGGCTGTCCAAAGATATGCCGCCGCTCTTTTTCTTAATTGGACTGTCGTTGCTTTTGGCGGAGACCAAATAGACCCAGCATACCACAACATGGAGAAAATGGATGCATTAAGTATCAGTGCCCTTCCATATATTGATGTATACACCGGAGACCATGCTCCTAGTTTTGTCAAAATCTTTGACATTAAATCCGCTGCCATAGAATAGTGTGTTCCACCTTCTGTTATTTTGATACCAAGATATCTGAACGGAACCGTAGGAGTCATCCACTGCAGACCCTCCGGACTGTTGAGAGGGTAAGCGTCTTCTTGGCCTTGCTCTGTCAGCCACCAGCCCATTGTTTTTTGCCAATTGACCTTCATCTCTGACGCAAGTTGAAAGGCATCCGTTGCCCTTGTTAATGCCTGAAAGGAAGAGTCCGAAGCTCTAATCAGTACTATTAAGTCATCCGCGAAAAGAATTGTAGTAGTAAGGTGAACCCTATGTCCTTGTTGATATGGCTGCGCCGTTAGCCTGTGGATTGATGGATCCTTACGAAGGAAGGAGGCTACTGCCTCCATTATGAAAAGGAAAATGGGAGCCGCCAAAGGATCTCCTTGTCTCACAGACCTCGACATCTCGTAGGTCGGAGAGAGATGGTCGTTAACCTGCACTTGCCCCTGTGCATGGTTGTAGAGGACTCTTATCCACTTCCTGAAGTTGGGGCCGACCCCCATCTTTTCCATGCATTGCTGTAGAAAAGGCCAGCTGACCTGATCATACGCCTTTTTGAAATAAAAAAAAAAACAAAATTGCTGCATTAATTTTTTTATCCCTTATGTACCGGACTGTTTTCGTTAAAGTCATAACGTTGTCCAAGATAAATCTTCCCATAATAAAACCCGTTTGATCTATATGGAAACAATTGGTTGTAATAGCCGATAGACGACAGACGATCGGTTTGTAGTTGCGTATGTCAGTCGGGGATCCCTTCTTATATAGAAGTGTAACTATTCCTGTTGCTGACTCCCGCCCTATTCCTTCCTCTTGCCACGCCTGTTCTAGAAAGGCCAAGTATTCGTCTCCCAAAATTGGCCAGAATTCCATTCAAAACTCCTTAGTGAGACCATCTTTCCCTGGGGTTTTGTTTGGGGTCATGGACCGTAATGCTTCCCATAATTCCTCTTGAGTCAGAGGAGCGTCCAATCTTGCAGCCTGAAGCGGCGAAATCGTGGTCTACGGATGATTGAGGAATTTGGACCGTGTTGCTGTAAAAATCAAAGGCTATCCCCAACATTCCTTCTTTGTCAGAGGTTAGCCCTCTTGGGCCATCAAGATGGGCTATGAGATTGTTCCTTCCTCTAGATTTTATTTTTTGGAAGAAAAACTTTGTCATTCTTTCCCCTTTTTCCCATTCCTTGACTCTAGCCCTCATTTGTAGACCCCTTGATCTCCATCGCTGCCATTCCGCCATTTCCTCCCTTGCCGCTTCGAGCGCTCTTTCATATATATTGTTTCCTGTAGAATTTATAATGTTGCACTCTGCTAGTTTTATTGCTTGCTGCAACTCTAACTCCCTTTCTTTTCTTCTAGCCGCTAACCTCCTGGCTACCCTTGTCGAGGCTTTAGAGAGTGCCATTACCAGCTCAGGGAATGATTGCGTTTCCGGATTATGATCTTGACATACTTGCAGCACCGCCTGCCTCATTTCCTGCGTTCTCAACAAGGAGTTATTTAATTTGTAGAACCCCTTGCCTCTTTTAACTTGTTTATCTGTCACCAGGCGCAAGTGAATTGGCTTGTGGTCTAATCCCGTCCCATAGGGTAATTCCCCTATACTTACCGAATGTATCATACCTATTATACCAGGCGACGTTAAGTAATAGTCTATTTTCGAAGCCGACACATGTTGACTACGATTTCTCTTCAAGTAAGTGAACAGTCTTTCATTTGGATAGTGGAGCCTGTAGGGATCCACCAGATATGTACTAGTCACCAATCTATGAATAGGCAAGGCCTTCTCAGACAAGCCCTCATCCCACGATCTGAGTCCTCCTGATAGTCTATCTTAGCTAGGGTCCAATGTGGCATTCCAATCCCCTACTATTACCAAGTGCCTATCTACTTCCAAAATTTCTTGGAGGTGACCTATAAACTCTACTCGCTGTTGGAACGTGTTGGGACAGTAAATTGAAATCAACGTGTAAGGTTCCTCGTGTAACTCGAAATTGACTTTTACCCACCTTCCTTCAACTTCATCTACCACAGTATTTATGATGTGTATGTTGCTTGTTGATGTCGACCTTTTGTTCTTAATTATAGCCACTCCCGTCGAGTGCTGACTGACTGTCGGTGCCCACCAAGCGTCCTTTACTCTCTGAAGTCTCTGTATCACATTGTTTTTTACACTTATGTGCTCCATTGTTTCTTTGAGATATGTTTCTTGTAGACAAACAAAGTCCGTTGAGGAAGCGGTGAACCAATCCGTATA